TGTGAGTGATCTGAAGTGAAAATTTTGCCGAGGGTCTTCCGAAAGCAGCTTCTCTGCCTTTTTAAAGGCAAGGGCAAGGTCTGTGTACACTCTACTCTCCATAGACCCCATTTGTGGGATTACACTGGGTATGTTGTTGTTGTATTATTTGAAGTGAAAAAAGGGCAGTCCGCTGTACTAAACTCCCGCTTTGTATCTGAAGTGGAACTTTTAAAAAAGGGCTTTTGGGAGTTTTTCAAATTTTCAAAAAATTCCGAAATTTATCTTCAAGTGAAAATTAAAAAATTTATGACCAAACACTGGTTCGAGAAAAAAGTGAAATCTTTTTTTTTTGGCCAAACGATCCCTAATTTCATTATCATGGTAATTTTACCTTTAATTACTTTTAATATAATTTGATAGTGTAAAATGTTACTACTAGCTCTATCCATGTAGTACATAAAAGTTAAATCTTATTAAATAGACATGGTTTAAGTTTTGGTCACTGCGATAGAAAAAAACATTTACACAATCAGGTAACTATAGATAAATATGTATAATAAGCATCAATTGATAACCTGAAAGAAATGAAGGTTTACAGCTTGTTTGGTTTGTTGTTACACGTCGTTTTATAATGTATCATATTGTACCGCATAATATTGTATTGTATCATTTGCCGTCGTTTCATGATGTTACGCACTAACAATATGAATAATAAACTAGCAGCATTACTAAAAAAAAATAGGATACGGAGTAGATTTATTATTATTATTATATAAAGTAGGGCAAAAGATAAAATATGATTATTAGGGCAAGATAGAGAGGGGAACAAATAAGGAAACGACGCCACCACACAAAACCCGTCATTCCATAAAGTGACATTTTTCGTCATGATGTAACAATGGATTTAATGAAATGATACAATAAAATTTAAGTAACAATCAAAATAAACTTTGTATTTAAAGTAACAATACCACACAATACAATAGGTAACAACTATCCAAACATGCTGTTATATATATCTCAAATCCTACTATGGGACATTAAGAAGATTGTACTTACTGGGCAGTCCAATTTTCAGTCCACAAAGAAGGTTTGTTGGGACCATTAGTGCCTGTGAAAGTATCCCCACAATGTCTTCCATTGCATGTATTTATCTGCACAAATAATTAGGAGGGGAAAAAAAAAAGAGGAAATTAGAGTTTTTACTGTTTAATATCATTTTGGTTGCCTTCTAATGAAATGTTACTAATCATTTCCCACAAGAAAATGAACATTACCACTGATGGAGGTGCATCCTTCTGCTTGCACATGATCCATGGGACTCCATTGTATAATCCCACAGCCATATTTGCTGCCCACTCAATATATTTCTTTCCATTCTCTTTATAAGCTAGCTGGACATTATTGTACTCATTTTCTATCTGTCACGATTTATACGTTACTGTTAAAGATATAATTAAGTAAATAAATATACACATATCAAGCATTGTAGTGTAATTTGCTAGAGACTGCTGTGATTAAATTAGGAGCAGACCTGAGCCAAGATTATGGGACCTCCTTGAGGTGCAAACAATTTCTCCTTTTTCATCAACTCAATGACTTTTTCTGCGTATTTTTTCATATGGTACTGCAAATGGAGAAAAAAGAAGGAATAAGATGAGTTAATTAGTCATTAAGAAGTAAGTATGTTACTCCCTCTATCTCAACTTATGTGATGCAGTTTGGATTACGAGAGTCAAACATATTTTTCTTTGATCGCGATTTTTTTTATGCTTTTTAAATATTTTGAATTGTTAATTGTTGTGACTTATAGTAATATTTTTTATGCAGATTCCAGATATTTAAATTTTTATTTTTAAAAACTTAAAAATTTTATATCCGAATTCGCAATTAAATCAAGATGATTGACTCTAGAAATCCGATATGCATCACATAAATTGGAACGAAGGGAATTGTAATTAAGAGCATTTTATATGTTTATGCATGCATGCACAATATTGTGATAACATACCACGAATGGCTCGTTATAAGAACGGAATGTGATATTTTTAACCTCTCTTAGCCAGTATGGGAACCCTCTGTTTCATTATCAATATTCATTAGGTCATAATCAAAATAAGGAGAAAAAAGTAGAGAAAACTAACAAAACATCAAAGAATTAATTAAATAGAATTAATATCGTTTATACCCTGAAGTCCATTCTGCTTCAATATAAGGACCAATTCTCAGAGTTACATACAGATCCTGTTTACCGATCTCCTTGATGAACTTGACAATGTCATAATTTCCTTCAAAATTAAACTGCAAATAAAAAACAACTAAGATTCTCGATATGGTCTTTACAAGAATAAAAATTTAAATCATTTAGACAAGAGTAGACCGTGGTAATTAAAGTAGTTTATGAGTTAAACCAAAACTTTTTGGCTTGATTTTCATTAGTACATATGCAAAAGAATTTATGTTTGTGTGTTAATATTACATTCATTCTGAACTCTCTAATATTTATAAATTTTAAATTCGCCTCTAATTACAAGATTGAGGTAGTGTTTACCTGGCCTTGAATGGGCTCGTGAATGTTCCAAAACACATAAGTCTGAATAAGATTAATACCTCCTTCTTTAGCTTTCCTGATAATGTCTGGCCACATCTGGAAAAAAAAAAACTAATCAATAAATTGTTGGTATTAAACATGTCAAAACTAAAATACTGGCAATTGAGAATTTTAAGTTACCTCAGGAGGGCTACGAGGATAATGAATAGAACCAGAAAAGAACAATTCTCTATTTCCATTGACGATTAATGAACGACTATCGTAAGTGACGCCACGTGGCTTTTCGGCGGCGCCGATCACCGATGAAACCAACAAGGAAATCAGGAGGACTAACGTTAATAATATCTGATTCTGTTTAGCCATTTTTGTTTTTTGTTTTTTTTTTTAAGTAGTAATATTTAATTTTTAGTTTTGGATAGTGAGTGTAAATGCTAGAGATAAGAGATGATAGCTATTTTGATGCCGGCAGGTAGCCATTCTTGAATTATCCTATGCAATGTAAAGAGAGTTATTTGCTGTTTTAGCTAACAATTAGCCTAGATCGGTAATTATGGGGCTTGTAGGATTTCTCGTATTTTTCACGATCAATATGTTTTTGTGTTTTGTTACATGCTTGTGGTTTTCTTTAAATTCTACATACATCTCTCTCCTCCCACCCCCACCCCTTTTTTCTCTTTTTTTTGTTAAATTAATTAAAGAGTATAACTTACTTTAAGATTTAACTTATACACGATGCAGACTACAAAATAATTGACTTAACTTATACACGGTGCACACTTCACTTAGAATTGCACTAATTTGGAGTACTTTTCAACGTCTTATAAGTTCAATTAGACCCATGTCATATGGTGCACGGGTATTACTGGGATCTGCTAAAGAAGACAGAACTCATGTATGTAGTGATTTGGTGAGGAAAGGACCAACAGCGACAAAGGAACATAGGAATATGTTAAATGAAGACTTTACCAAAAAGGAGGTCAAACAGGCTCTTTGACAAATTGATGGGGAAAAAGCCCCGGGTCCTGATGGATATGGCAGCAAGTTCTTCAAAGATAGTTGGGACATTACAAGAACAGATCTTGAGGAGGGATACTTGAGTTCTTTAGATCAAAGAAGATGCTGAAGGCAATCAACAACACAGTTGTTATAGTGAATCCTAAGAGTAGCCATGCAGAAGCAGTTGGGGATTACAGACCTATAGCCTGCTGTAATACAGTATATAAGGTCATCTCAAAAATGCTATGCAATAGACTTAAAGTCATCCTGCCGAGCATTATCTTTGATAACCAGAGTGCCTTTGTAGCTGGAGAACAATCATGCAGAACATATTGATTTGTCAAGATCTTGTCAGATTATATAATAGAAAAGCAGCGACTAGGAGTTGCTTGATAAAAATAGACCTTAAAAGGCGTATGATTCCATAGAATGGGATTTTGTAGAGAAAATGTTACATGCTCTAACTTTCCCTACGAAATTCATAAGGTGGATCATGGAATGCATATCAACTACTCAATATGTTGTAGCTATAAATGGAGGGTTATATGGGAGCATAAGAGGGAAGTGAGGCTTGTGACAAGGGGACCCCCACTACTGTTTGTCATATGCATGGAGTACTTCACAAGAATTATGAAGTTAGTGGCTTAGCATGAAAGATTTGGCTACCATACTAAATGCAGAAGCTTGCAACTCAACCATATATGCTTTGCGGATGATGTGTTACTGTTTTGCAAAGGAAACTTTAGTTCTGTTATGCTGATGCTTAGAAGGCTTCAAACCTTCTCCAACTCTTCAGGGCTAACAACTAATGCAGGAAAGTCCAACATATATGTTGTTAATATGGAGACTCAGGAGTTAGAGGGCTTATGTGAAATAACTGGCTATAGTAGAGGCAGTCTTCCCTTCAAGTACCTAGGTGTTCCAATATCTTGGAAGAAACTATCAAAAATGGATTGTCTAAGTACTAGTGGATAAAATAATAACTAGAAAAAGAACTTGGGGGTCAAAGCACCTATCCTATGCTGGGAGAGTACAAATGATTAATGCAGTGCTGGTGCATCTCCAGACATACTTGGCGTCGATCTTTCTACTTCCCAAAGCAGTACTCAAAAGAATAACAACAATATGTCGCAACTATCTATGGGATGGCAAGGTGGAAACAAATAAAAAACCATTAGTGGAATGGGATCTTGTTTGTAGGCCAAAGCAAGAGGGAGGGATAGGAATAAAAGACTGTATATCATGGAATAAGGCAGCAATAGGGAAATATGTTTGGGATATAACGACAAAGGCTGATTCTTTATGGGTCAAATGGATCAACCATATCTACTTAAAGAGTACTGATTGGTGGCTATATACTGTACCACAAGATAGTAGCTGGTATTGAAAGAAAATCTGCCATATAAGAGACAAGCTTGTAGGGGAATATAACCAGGGAGGATGGAAATCGCAAACAGGTAGATATACAATCATGAAAGGGTACACATGGTTGAAAGGGAATCTGGACAAATACCATTGGGGAAGCTGGGTTTGGAATAAGCAAAATATTCCAAAGCATAGCTTCATCTGCTGGCTGATTATGCAAAGGAAGCTGCTCACAAAGGATAGGCCAGCTCACAAAGGGATGGGTTCAGATGGCCTATGTGTATTATGTGGAAATGCCTCAGAATTAATAGAACACTTGTTCTATGAGTGCCAATTTTCTAAATTGTGTATCAATGAAGTGATTAAGTGGCTAAAGATCAGGATCACAAACTATGAAGGACAACATCTATGGAAACGAGTAGGCAGGAAAATGGGGAATAAACTAAGAAGGGGGTTCTCCTTTGCTGTATTGGCAGCATTGAACTACCACATATGGAAGGGGAGAAACGAAGCCTTATGGCAAAGTTCAGTGCCTAGACCAAGCAGGCTATGTGATCAAATCAAAAAAGAATGCAAAGTTCGTGTGATGGAGATAATCAACAAACAAAAGCGGGACAAGGAGAGAAGATGGATAGAAGAAGTATATAGCTAGATAAGGAATAGAAAAAATACTACTTGTACAGAATAGGATATAAATAGACTTACTTCTGTCTAGCTGAGTAAGTACGGGAATTTATATATAGTAGGATACTAGAGGTGTTTTGGATTTCTCCATTGTACTTGTTCTGGTGATGAATAAAAAATTTCACTCCACCAAAAAAATGGAGAGTTTAATATTATTCAAATAATTATGTTTTTCTCTTTGTCGTAGTGTGAAATTACATGATTATACCAATTAATCTCATTAGTAGTAAAAAAGTTCTCTAATTTTTTGGATAATTTTTTTCTTCAATACAGTTGGTCTTTTTTTTTGGTACCAAAGATAACTAATATATATTAAAATATGCGTACAGGGTTTTGATGCTCGTGCACCATATTACATATGCTAATATTAACTATACTATAATTTCTGTTATATCTACGTGAGGAATCGCCCCTAGGATTTTCACACTGACGATCCTCTAAACTAGTATAGACTGCATTTGTGCTACTTAAGTTCCCAAAATTATGTTCAATAGTCTCATTAGACACATGATTAGGAAAAAAACATATGTTGCTGGCTTGATCATCCAGTTGTTGCACAACTGTGATAGGAATCATGCGTTGAGATTCAATCCCCGCTGGTCTGCTAGCGGTTGAGTTGATACCAAAGATGGTGGTTTAACAAAAAGTTGCAACACGACAGAAAGTGGCATTCTCCTTCCTAACTTTGCAAGATGGTCTGCTACCCCATTATGTTCCTTGTACACATGCATGACTACTGGATCATGGAGTATCCTGAGGAGGTACCTGCAATCAAAAATTAAGTTAGAATATTTTGAGGTTTCCCTGCCCATTAATGTACCTCCTTTGCGTCTATTTCCACTTCCAGCGGTAGCAGTCGCAGCTGTATGGCTATACTTAAGCCTTTGATGAGTGCTTGCAATTCAGCAGTTATAGTGTGCACATGAGGAACTAGGCCTGCAAATCCCACCATCCAATCACCCATGTGATTTCTAATGACCCCTCCAATTCTATCTGTGTCCGTTGAAGAAGAAGTTTCCCCATCCGTATTATGTTTGTAAAAATTTATCCTTGGTGGAATCCATCTTAGATGCAGCAGCACCCTATTAGCATGCGTGTGTTTTGAGTCTACCATGTATGCATGTTCTATATCCTGATTTAAAACATTGTAAGGATTTGGCTTTTGTTCTTTATGCTCATATAGATTTTTATTGCGAGTTGTCCAAAGATGCCAAAGACTTGTAGCTAGGAAAGTTTTTGAGTTTACTTTATAAGGAAAATTAATTCCTTTATAGTTTATGAGCCTATTCAACCAATGGATAGGGGCAGCATTGAGTGGAACTTTTGTGATGAAGTTGCGTAATCCTATGTTATTCCAGTATTGTTTAGCATAAGAGCAATGAAGTATAATATGATTTATTATTTCTTGATTAGCATGGCAGAGGATGCAGTTAGAATTTATAGAAATTCCTATGTAGTTTAGGTAATGAAGAGTAGGTAATCTATTATGAAGAACTAACCATAAAAAACTTCTAACCTTTGGTTGGACGGGCAGGTTCCATCCCCATTTAAAGTCATTACAAAAGTTTGCTGAATATTTGCCATTGTCGATCAGTTCTTTGTACATAGTTTGCACAATGAACTTACCGCTAGTTGTTAGGCCCCATAGAAGTTGATCATTTTATTGTGCGTAGATGGGGGTGTATTGTTTGTTTATTATCGATTGTAGGTATGTCAAAACCAAAATTTGTCCAGTCCTATACATGATTTTTGAGAATAGTAGAGCTAGCATGCGTATCATTTGACTTAGGTAGTTGACCTATAAACATGGATCTCAGAGTTGTACTCGCCTTAAGCCATGAATCAGTCCATAGATTAATATGGGTCCCTGTTCCTACTCTCCAGTAGATACCCCGTTGACAGTGATTCCAACCCTTTACAATATTACGCCAGGTTGAAGAAGAATTAGTGCTAGTTTTTAAATGAAGGTATTTATTTAGGAGTGTCATTTCCCAAAGAGATCGAGGATTCTGGAAAGTTCTCCAGGCTAGGCTGGCTAACAAGGCGTAATTTTTTGTTCTCAGGTTTTAGATATTCAAACCGCCTTTTATTGAAGGGGTTGTAATTTGCTCCCATTTAAGGAGATGCAATTTCTTTCTTATGTCAGTGGTACCCCACAGAAAATTTTTTCGTAACGATTCATTTTATTAATGATGTTGGTCGGGATATGAAAATACTGCATGATATGATTAGGAAGAGAATTGAGTGTGGATTTTATAAGAGTGTTTCTTCCTGCCATAGTTAAAAACTTAGTTTTCCAACCTGCTAACCTGTTTTTAAAATTGTCGAGTAAAAACTGGAATTCACTGTTTAGAGGTCGACCAGTAAAAACTAGGAAGCCCAGATATTTTTCAAATGACTAACCCTCCTTTATTGCAAAGGATTATAACACAAAATTTTTATTAGAGGGGGAACAGTTATTTGAGATAAATATTTTAGATTTATCAAAATTTATTTTTTGACCAGAAATGTGGTTGAAGTGGTTAAGAACATCAATAATCACATGGCAACTTTGTGTATTGATTTTAGAAAGTAGTATGATATCATCAGCGAAGAAAAGATGTGAAAGATCCGGACCATGTTTGGAGATTCGAATTGGTTGCCATTGTAGGTAATCTACTGACTGATTAATCATGCGAGAGAGAATTTCCATACACATGATGAAGATGTATGGAGATAAAGGATCCCCTTGTCGAATTCCTCGTGAAGGATTGAAGTAGGATGTACGTGTTCCATTAATTAGAATTGACGTAGTTGTAGTAGTAATACAAGACATTATTAACTCCATAAGAGAGGTTGGAATATTAAAATATAATAGAGTTTTCCTTATGAAAGACCACTCCAACCGATCAAAGGCCTTCTCAAGGTCTAATTTAAGAAGCATATAGCTTGTTTTACCTTTCATTTTGCGAAAATGACTAATAATTTCCTGAACTATTATAGCATTGTCAGAAGCTCTCTTTCCTTATTCGAAGCTAGATTGTGTGGATCCTATAACCTTAGAGAGAAGAGGCTTAAGCCTGTTAACAATTATCTTAGTAATTAATTTATAGATAGTATTACACAGGCTTATAGGCCTATATTGTTGAATAGTGTGTGCATGCTTGACGTTTGGGATAAGGCATATATAAGTACGATTGAGGTCCGGTGTCACACCTCCTTTTTTATACACTTACCCCGAAGGATAATGTATAAGGGAGTTTTTCCATTTAAAGTGACATTATTCGAAATGGGATTATTTATTTATTTTTAGAGTCGCCACTTGGGAAAGGATTGGCTTCTGGTGTCCCAAGTCACCGGTTTAACTTAAATTCCAAATCGAGGAAAATTGTCGACTTCCCAATTGGAGTTTGCGAACCAGAAATTCTGAATAAGGAATTCTGTTGACCCGAGGGAAGGTGTTAGGCACCCCCGGATCCCGTGATTCTAGCACGGTCGCTTAAATTATTATAAATGGCAGAAATCTGATTTTTATACATGTTCAAACCTATAGTGCAATTTTAGAATTGTTTAACCGCTTTTAGTTAAAAAAATTTAATAAAGTGAATGTCCTTTAAAAACGTATTTTTGGATCACGTCACATGAAATGCACCCGGATCCTCGACACATTCTTATTCAACGTTTTGGGATTTGGATTTGGGTTGCATGAAATGCACACCCGTATTTAGGAAGGTAAAATTATTAAAAGCGCACCTAAAGCGACTAACGTGTTATTATCTTTGCGGAGGGTCGTGAAATTCGCTAAACGGCATGCCCCGAATTCTAAGTACTTTTAATTAAGCATTTAATGAGGGCCCCGCAATTTATACATTTTGTTTGGTGAGGCTCATCTCATCTTATTATTTAAAGGTCATCCTAGAGCAAACTATAATTTTCTATTGGGTTTGTCTCTAAAAGGCCCTAATTAGTTGGCATTATGAAATTCAGGCCTCAAGCTCAAGTCCGAATTTAAACAAGAGGAAAACCTCTTAATTTAAATTCGCTACCTAGCTTGGAAAGCCTAGAAATGTATTATTAAACTAAATTGCAATTTGAAAAGGAAAATTAAACTTTTATAGCAAACGGGGCCTTGAATTTGGCCCAAGGATCTTCGGTCAGTTTGTTATATAAGACAATGCCCAGTTGTGGGCTTCGATCACAAGCCCAGATTTCATTTACAAGAAGCAAGGCTTCCTGGGCTCATAACAGGCCCAGAAATCGAATATTAACCTTAAATTTGGGCCTGCCAGCAAGCTTGTAAATAGATGCATAATTTATTCACATCAACTCTAAATCTCAAACACCTAATTAATTCAGTTCATTCAACTCGTTGGTACACTGGTAATTAACATGGATTTTCAGAAATCCAATCAACCATTTAATAATGAACGTCCAAACTTAAACATGTAATGCGGCATGAATCTGGAGTGCCAAACTGTTTTGAATTGTGAATATATTACTCTGAAACCTACTTTTCAACAAGCACATGGTGAACAAATAAACATGATCAATTATTCTAAACTACAAGAGATGTCAATTCTTCATTAATACAATGCTCATGCTATCTCCAGATTTAATTTCTAACCAATGACTTACTCTAGTCTTAAGTTCAACCTAACAGGATACTCAAGGCTAGTATTATCAGGACATTCGTATAGCTCTCAAAAAACAATGCAGCAGTCCAGTCCAAAACAGTCCAATCAGTCCTTAATTAATACAAAAGATAGATGATAGTCTAATAACAATATTGAACTAAATGCCTAAGTATACAAATCAGAACACGTAAAACAAAGGAAACAAAAGAGTCCTCCCATGTTCCTCTTCAACAGTAGTCATACATATGAATTCAGTCCTCACTTGAGGTTTTAGAGTATACCTGGAAATGAACAAATGAAAGGAGGAGGGATCAGCAATGCAGACAATAATCAACAGCAACTAGAATTCAACAAC